GCCCTCACTCGCCAGCTGCTGCCAGGCTGGGGGGCGATCCCCGCTGCCCCCCTCTGTCCCGTGCTGGATGGAGGACTCTGTCATGAGGCCCCAGAAGCCTCAAGGCTGCTGCAGCAGTCAGAGTCCGGGGTTTTTTATTCTTCTGTTTTTTTAAAGGGCCGGGAGCTTGGGTGGGCAGGGCAGCCATGGGGGAGCTGGGAGAATGGATGGAGGCTGAGAGACTTGTGGCAGAGCCCCCCATGAAGCATGGGGCAGTGGGGACAGTGGGGATCACCCCCCACACCTGGCAGCAACCAGTGAGTGGGGTTTTTTTTTAAAGAGCTGGGAGCTGGGGCAGGCTGGGCAGCCATGGGGCGGCTGGGACTGTGGGTGGGGGTCAAAAAGTGTTCAGGGGGCCTGGGGGAGCACGCAGGGGATGAGGCCTGGCAGGGGTCCCCTCCCCACTCCTCCAGGCTTCCCTCCCCCTACCTACCAGCATGGAATCCAGGTCCAGCTCCCTGTGGCAGCGAGTGGGGACTGCCTGAATTGCCGAAGCTCTCTGAATCTTTTCCAAATTGATTCAGAGAGCTTCTAATCGGTTTGAATAATTTAATTGGTCTCCTGGATCCTGTTTCTCCACTGAATCAGGCCGAATCTCCTCCAAATCAAATCAGCAGCCCTATTACACAGGTACTGAAGGAATTGAAACTTTGGAAAATTAACCCTCTGCTTTTTCTGGCACCACTGGATTTCTCCATAATAAAAGGTCTGAATTTTGCCTCTAAAATTAGTTTTGTCATACTAATATCAGTTGCTAAGTCTTCCCTGCTGATTTACTAACAAATATACTGTTCTTATATGCATGTGTGCATTTGTAAACCAAAAATTTTTAGAGTTAATAGCAGAGGGCATGACAGGTATAAGAATGAAGTCCAGTGTAAGAGAAAAGGTACAGACAATGCATCAATAGAAGCCAATGGTAGTGAACAGCAGCAAATGGGGAGAAGCAAACAGGACAGTTTGCAAGCAGTTCGCTAGTCAGTTCGCAGGTCAGTTCGCTGCTCCTCTCTTTAAAGGGAGCCCTGAAAGGTAAAATCATATTTTTAAATATGTAGTTAGGACTGACTAACTTGCATAGTTTTATTTTAGCAGCTAAACTCAGCAGCTAGACTAAGACGTAAGCCCTTGTTTAACTAGAGTCCAGAGTGAGGGGGAGTTTGCTAGGGAGTTTGCTTGGAAACTCTCTCATATTCCTTCACTGTAAGCTTGTTGAGAGGAAGGAGTTTGCAGGGAAAAGGGACCTCTTCAGGTGAAGGAACAGCAAACAGGCCATCTACAGAGGAGTTTACTAAGGAAGGTCTTTTGGACAAAGAGGCATGAAGTGAGAGGCAGCAGACTAGAAGACACAAGAGGCATGGCTGAAGGAGGACGTTGCAATTCCAAAGCCACTGCCTCTTCCAGCTCTTCCCCTGCTTCTACCTGGGAGGTGTCTGTCCATGCAGGATCACACACCACTGAGGCTTCCATGCAGGTCCTGGTTTGGTGCCATGCAGACTGCAGCTTGCAGATTCCTTCCAGTGTCAGCCAGGTGGGGGAGTGCTTGCAATGGGAGCAGTGCTTTTGGAGGTGTCCCTCAGTGAACAGGCAAGAGACCTAGAGGAGGAGGTAGCAAGGCGTTGAAGCATTCTCTGCCATAAGGACTTAATAAATTCTATGCTGAAGGAAAACTCTAGGAATGTGGAGGAAGGACTGCCTGTTACCAGATTTGCCCGTCACTTTTGGGTGTGCTCATTTATTAGGGGTATGTTTCTGGGGTCTCTGACATTCTGTCAATGTGCTGCTTGTGTTACTTATGTTTCCATGCGGAGCTGTATCTCTCCCTTCTGCAAGTCCTCACCCCACCCCATGGAGCCATCTTGCAGGAGTCAGGGTCGATGGGGCTGGGTTTCTCGAACCACTAAATCAGTCAAATGCATATACACACATAGATTAACAAGGCACACCTGAGCTGGGCCAAGTTATTCAGCATTGACAGGCTAACACCCTCATATACCTTGAACTCAGTTAATCAGGGCAACAATAAAATGCAGTCAGACACAAACACATGGGTTAACAGAGCGCATCTGAGTCAGGCCGGGTTATTCAGCATTGACAGGCTGACACTCATGTGCCTTGAGCTCAGTTTATCCCTCATTTCAGCAGGACAATAATAAATGCAGTTAGAACACACACAGAGAAGCTAACAGGGTACGTCTGAGTAGGCTGGGTCTGATTGGTACTTTCAGCTGATACCCTCATGCACCTCAAAATTCAGTATGTCCCAATCTCTTGTCACAATGGTCCTAGTAGTAACTCCCTTGATGAGCAGACCCCACCGTAGTTTTGGGCATTACAGGGGTCTTTGGCTTAGGTAAAAGAAGCGTTTCTGCAGAGCAAATAGGGAGGTCAAGGGGAAGGAAGTGTAAGTGAGGTTCAGAGAGAGAGTATAGCAACCATCTTGACCATAAAAGTTATTTAGTGCCAGGTATATGAACTTATGATGATACCAGTAGTAATAGCCATACAAGAGAGATAAATAAAACAGTTACAATATTACATAGTTTCAGTTAAGGATTTGGGGAAGTCTAGCTCAAGTTTGATCAGCAAAAGTCAGGTTTAGAAAGCTGTGCCTGGGGTAAGAGAACAAAAGCCAGGTTTAAAAAGTTGTGTCTGGAATAAGAAAACAAAAGTCAGGTTCCTGGAGTCAGAGAGAGAGTTGGGGTCTCACATTCAGTGAAGCTTGAATCAGTTGAGGTTCCCAGGTGTTTTTTTGGAGCTTGCAGACAGGCAGAGCCCTCAGCATGACCAGTGGAGGGATTCCAGGCAGAAAAGGAGTGGAACTGGTGCAGCTTTTGGATCCAAGCACCTGGACAGAAACTTGAGCTCAGGTAGGGGGTTTTGTAGAGAACTAACAATGGGAGAACACTAGCTTTGTTTATGGGTAAACGATGGCTCCTATGCTGGATAATAGGAACTGATCACCCCGGCCATGGGTGGCATCACTCTGAGGGAGCTCACAATACAGACAGGCAGATTCAGTGTTTTGGGTACCAATAAAGGAGGAGTCATTGCTAGAATTGGTCTGATAAATGCCAAGCTGAGATGTGGGCTGATTAGCATCTGGAGCAGGGATCCCCCATCATGCAGTGCTCCCCTGCTTCTCTGGTTCCAGAGTTCATTGCGGTCCTTGCCTTGAATCTCTGTTCTTCATCCTGAATGCTGATGAAGGTGCTTTCGTGCCCCATCTCCCACGTAGATGAATTGCTATCCGGTTCCATCTCCAATGTAAATGAGACCAGGAGAGTTGATTCATTCCTATCACCCTTGTGTGGAGGGCTTTAGGTACATTCCCACTGCATCTTCATTGTCTTTTTTAAGTCCTTCCTCTAACCAGTTCTTGTTCAGGCAGAGGTATGCGTGTGTGTGGGGCAGGGGAAGTCCTTTGTGAGTCAGACAGGCTGCGTACTGTGCTAGGGTTCCCCAAGAACAGAGCCGATGAGGAACATACCAGATATGGTGCTAGAAAATGAAGAGGGTATGGAGTCCCAGGAAGGTGGAAGCCGGAATCTTCTGGCAGCAAGAACTCGTCATCTCCATGTGCAGTGGTATGCCTGGAGAACAGACCTGGAGTGTTAGCAACACAGGAGGAGGAGAGCATTCCATTGGTGCAAGAGGTCAGGCCAGGAATCCCCTGCCATGAAGAGGAAGTGATGGGTGGTGGTGGTTGGAGACTCCCTTCTGCAGGGGATGGAAGGATCCATCTGCTGGTCTGACCTGTTGTCCTGGGAGGTCTGCTGATGGTCTGGAGCCCGGATCTGAGATGTCATAGAAGAAGTAGCAAGAATTGTCTGACCCTATGACTACTACCCCATGCTGCTCATCCATGTGGGCAGTAATGATACTGCCAGGGTCCAAGGGTGAAGGAGGTGGAGGCACAGGTTGTGTTCGCCTCAGTCTTTAGGGTCAAGGAGAAGGACCCTGGCAGGAGTGGGTGCATTCTGCAGATTAATGCATGGCTGTGCAGGTTTCATAGACATTAGGGCTGGAAGGGACCTCGGAAGATCATTGAGTCCAGCCCCCCGCCCAAAGGGCAGGAAGTCAGCTGGGGTCATAGGATCCCAGCAACATAAACATCCAATTTGCTCTTGAAGGTGTTCAGTGTAGGTGCTTGAACCACCTCCGATGGCAGGCTGTTCCAGACCTTGGGGGCTTGGACAGTAAAGAAATTCTTCCTTATGTCCAGCCGGAAAGAGTCTCGCAGTAGTTTATGACCATTTGACCTCATCATCCCTTGGGGCGCTCTGGTGAACAAATGTCCCCCCAGAAACTGGTGGTCACCCCTGATGAACTTATAGGTGGCCATCAGGTCACCCCTGAGCCTGTGCTTTTGCAGGCTAAAGAGCCCCATGGCTCTCAGCCTGTC